TTCCTGGATCCACTACTAATGTACAGGGGGCGTTCCCGCGACCACTGAAACTTAACTGCTTCCGTCACAAAATTACTACCATTTTTACTTCTATTACCAAGTGAATTTTTTATATTTTTAATTATTTTTAGACCTATATTTGAATTTAATGTTATATTACTTATATAAATTTTTTATGTACCAATTTTCATGTATCAATCCTGTTATGGGCGACACTGGTCGCTGTTGGATGATGTTGAAATAAATAAAATAAATAGGCTTAACTATTTGTAAAGTCATTTAGAAAAGAGGCCATAAATGGCTAAAACTCAAAAGCTTCCTTCCAGGGGAAATAGCCCTTGCCTTGGACCACTATAGAATAGAAGGGAAGAAAATGCGAGGCCAACTCGGAATATCACCACCACTGGTATACAGGTCCTCAATTGCCACTCCCCGCCCCACCTTCCCATCTGCAAGTAATTTCTAAATCCAAGGCTTACCTTGGTATGCGGCCTTTGAAATATTAAAATATTAAAAATAAATATTAAATATTCAAACCAACGAGGGGCGTATAATTATGAGCAACGACGATGTTGATCACCTGCTTACGACAAAGCCTAGCCCCCCCCCCCCTCCCCCGTCGACACACGATTACTAGGTCGTCGGATCAAAAATTGTAACAAAATAATTTGCCTATTCAAATAACGTTATTTTGACTGCCAATCCTTTGATATTGTGGTCTAAAAGCACATTTTGGAGCATACTAAGCCATAAAAACTCACCCCCGTGAACCCTACAAGGGAGTTTTTACTTCGGGCTTCGTCTTCGTCGGCCCCTTGATCAGACCTCTTCGACGGACATGTCGGACCCCACGTTTTTGAAAGTGGGGTGGGGTGCCATTTCATAAGGTCCAGTATGCGAGCGAAGCGAGCATCCAGGCTGGGTGCCACCCCTGATTTTGAATTACTTGATTTGACATTTTGGTGTCTTTTCCTTTTCGACACAATGGAAAACATTTTAGTACGAGAATGCCATTTCCATTGGCGGATCTGGAGGTGGGGGTCAGGGGGTCTAGAAAAAAAATCCATAGCTACTTTTTTCAGAACCGTGAGCTGAATTTTTTTTTTTTTTTTGGGTTACAATTTGAAAATTAAAAGTTGGGAAAGCTCATTTTCCGCCATCTAGGAATCAACATTTTCCACCCCCGCCCCCACTTTCCTTTTTTGGGGTTCATCGATTCACGGAATAAAAAAAAAAAGAATACGTATGCAAATCATTTTTTCTGTATAATATATACCGGTGCACACATAATAGGCCTATTTACTTAATAATAAATGATAAAAAATTTAACAGACCGTTTTCAAGAGGGGAAAACCTAGAATTTTGAAGAACTTAAAAGTCAATAAATAACAATTCAGAAGTCGGGAAAGCTCATTTCTCGCCAGATAGGATTTTCCCGAGGAGAACCCGGATTTCTCTTTCTCTTTGTGGTTCATCAATCCATGGAATCGTTTTCAGGAGAGGGAAAACCTCAACATTTAATGATTAAAGTCATTAAAAGACACCTCAGAATTCGGGATAGCTCATTTCCCGCCAGGAATTGAAATTTCCTGACCGCCCCCCCCCCACCCCGTTTTCTTTGGGGCTCATGGAATCATGGAAAAAAGAATACGTATGCAAAATTATTGTTATTATTATTATTTTATGTAGGCCTATATACACACATAGGTCTAATTTACTGTAATAGAATGAGAAAGTTCCCTGACCTTTTTTCAAGAGGAGAAAACCTTGAATTTTGAAGAACTTAAAAGTCATACACCTCAAGTCGGGGGAAAGCTCATTTCCCGCCATCAGGAATCAAGATTTTGCCGGTGGAGGACCCCGGCCCCTGCCCCTTCCCTTTTATGGTTTTTTTCGAAACATTTTACCCGCTCCCCTGCGTAAATTTCAACCCAGATCCGCCCCTGCCATTTCGGCACATATTTTTACCATTTCACTCCAGACGCAATCATGTTGGGTTGTTAATGGCTCTCAAGTCAGCAACATTCCTGAAAAAGTCTCCTCCTGTACAAGTTAAAATGGACCTAATCTGTAGAAATGCCGAGTTGAATACTACCGACCCAGGGGCGGATCCAGAGATCAAAAGGTTGGGGGGGAGCTAAAGAGACAACATCCCCCTCCCTCGATTTTTTTTTTGTTCTAGGCACCCGAAAATAACATTTGAGGCGTTCTGTTCTATCATTTTTTTCTTTTTTTTTCTTTTTTTTCTTTTTGTTTTCTTTTTTATCTCCCAAAAAGGGGAGTCGGGCCGGGTCGGCCCCCACCCCTCTAAATCCGCCCCTGCTACCAGCCTAATTTGTACGAGGCATCAACGGTTCTGGGCTCCTTGTGGCCGGCGTTTTGTGGTCGGACATGGGATATTTAACAATCAGCAAAAAATGAGAAATATTAAAGGCATTCGGCTCTCTCTAGTGTATCCTTGTCTGTCCACGGTTTCTCACCCAATGCATCTAAAAGGCTTACATAATGATTTTCATATCCTGCATACCCACCCTGTAAATGTGAATAATCTGTAAGATTGTGTGCTTTAGTACGTTATCCAATTTTATTGGAAGCATCGGCTAGGTCGAGGCCTAATGTTTATAAATCACAACAGATTGGTTGAAAATTAACGAAGGTCAGCAGGATGACTAAAACAAACTGTTCAATGCCCGAATGCTTTAAATGGACAAATCGAATCTAAAAACATTAGAAATAATTATACAAAAGCTTAAAATTAGCTTCACGATTTGAGGTTAAAAAGTAAAATTTCACTTTAATAAGATGAAACAGAATTAGAAGCAGGACACCATTTCATTTCACTGTATTGCGGTACTTTTGATGATGTCTGATTAATTTAATTATGACAATGGCATCGCGGTACCCGGTACGGTACCTACTTGGTTGTTGTATGGTGACAGTTATTATGTTAGCTCAAAAATGGTCAGCATGGAGGTACATTTTATTTTGTAGCTCCACGGCATGGTCTCAGCAGTGTGATTATTACTGCACAGATGCATATTTAAAAAATAATTTGCCTTAATTTTTTGCCACCTCGGTTTTTTTCGATTAGATGTTTTGTTTTAAATAATGTATTTCAATCACTCTCTGTCGGCAGAATAGCATAGGCCTACTCATCTTCGTTATTGTGCATAACCTCAATTTATAGAGTATAGGCCTAGGGCCTGCTATAAATTGTAATTTACCTAATACTCTTCATAACCTGTGTAGACCCTCCCTCTTTTTTTAACGCGTGTACGAACAACGTCTGTTCTTTTACCTAGGGGTGGCGCCAGGAATTCCTCGAAGAGGGGTTCAAGCTCCCGACAAGGGGGTCCACGCAACGCCCCCCCCCCCCCTCGGTCGACGAAACGATAATAAAATTTTGTTTTAATTATGGGATTCTTTATTTTAAAAGGATGTCAGGAGTACTAGTCTCCCTTTAGGGGGGTACTAACCCCTGCCGGAGATAACAGCCCCTTATCGGGGAAGAGGTGCCGCTGCAACCAATACGATCGCAATAGTATACAACACCTCGTACATACGGTAGCACTGCTCGCACTAAACAGATTTTTTTTATCCCTAAAATTTTGACAGCTTAGTAAGACATGCTTGAATAGTACTTTTGGCGCTCGAGATTTGACTTTCCCCACGATCTTGCTGGAAGTGCCTCGACAAGGGATCCAAGCGGGGTCCAGAGGTCCTCGACGGGGATCTTCCCCCTCCCGTCTCCGGACCCCCTGGTGACGTGCCGCCTCTGCTTTTACTAACTAAATCCTTTCCGAGCCACTGGGCTTATAGGGCTGGATCTTATCCCCAGTTTCTGTAGTGTGAAGCGGATGAGAGTTGTACTCTCCTGGACGGGACACTAATCCGTCGCAGGTTAGTCCCCAGCAGTTTGCTGGTACCCATTGATACAGCTGGGTGGACTGAAGCAATGTAGCTAAAGTGCCTTGCCCAAGGACACAAGCGAATCTGCACAGCGGAGACTCGAACATCCGACCTTAGGATTGAAAGCCCAAACGTCAACCGCTGCGCCAAACTGCCGCTATGCCTCTGCTTTTACCTGGCCTAAA